TCCCAGGGACAGCACGGGGTTGGATACACAGTAAAGCTCCCTCTACATTTCCCTTCCCGCCCCATACCCCGGGTCAGGGACAGGGACGAGATCCCAGGAATACACACCGATTTATCCATGACAATAACAGCTGCTGTTCCCAGCGCGGTCTGAGCCTCGATCAATGCGTCAAAGTCCATCATCACATCATCGCAGACGGATTTGGGGATGAGGGGTGTGGACGATCCGCCGGGAATGATGGCCAGGAGGTTGTCCCAGCCTCCGGTCACACCACCTGGCACAGGAAGAGTACACACACGTCAGCGACTGGACGGAACGGAGCTGGAATCGCGGCTTCGCATCCCGGGAATGGGGAGGGAATGCTTTGTGGTGAGAGCTCAGCTCAGTGTCAGTGAGCTACAAAACCACCAACAATTCACATTAAATACCCGCCTGCAGGGGAACAGCAGGAGGCCATTCAGCCCCTTCCCCAGCCTGTTACACAGGGGAACAGCAGGAGGAGGCCATTCAGCCCCTTCCCCAGCCTGTTACACAGCGAATCCGATCTGACTATGGGCGGAGAAGGGTCAGAGTTCAGCCGGTCGCACCGCCACCCCACCACCCCCCACCCATTCCCGGACTGGCAGACCCCGCTGCCCACCCCCTCGCATACCGGCGTGCCTCTCAATGAGCTCCTTGAGGGGGATGGACATCTCCTCCTCCACAGTGCACGGATTGTTGACATGGCCTGAGATGTTGAAGAGTTTGGTTCCCGAGTTGCGTTCGCGCCCGAAGCTGTGGAACCACTCGCCGCCACGGCGACAGATGGTGGGGGACACAGCAACCGTCTCCACATTAGCAACCGTCGTCGGGCAACCAAACAGCCCTGGGTAGGGGAGGGCGGAGGGTATGAGAGAGACAGAGAAAGTCAGGGAGGGAACGAGCAATGGGGAGAGAGGCGGGGAGAGAAGCGGAGTGAGACAGGAAGCGCGAGAGAGCGCGAGAGAGCGCGAGAGAGCCGGAAAGTGCGAGCGACGGAAGGAACAAGAGATGAGTCAATGGTCCGAGGTCAACATCCCTAAGACTGCCCTCATCACCTTGCTCATCTTCTGCCACCCTCGAACTTCCTCTTCCACCTATCCCTTCCCCTCTCCCTCTTTCTTCTCCTCCTCCCAAGCTGCGCATGTCTCTCCTATTCCCCTTCTAGCATCGATCTCCCCCTCTCTCTCTCCGTGGCTACTCCAACACTTCCATTCCACCCAATCCCTTCGACAAACCTCCATCTTCCACTCCTTCCCTCCGTCGCACTCGCAAACCCCTTCCCCTCAAAACCTCCTCCTTCGCCCTCCCGTCACCATTGTCCCCTCTCCCTCGTCCCTTTCCTTTCCCATCTCCTCCCATCTTGTAACGGCCACCTGGCGGTATCAGTCTCGCTTCACCTCCCCACACCCCACACCCCACCCCCCGAGGGCTGGTCAGCCTCACCCACGTCGGCCGGGAAGGGGGGTTTCAGTCGGGGTTTCCCCTGCTTCCCCTCCAGGGACTCGATGAGGGCCGTCTCCTCCCCGCAGATGTAGGCCCCGGCTCCACGGAAAACAAAGACGTCAAAGTCGTAGCCGGATCCACAGGCGTTTTTCCCGATCAGGCCGGCCTCGTACGCCTCCTTAATTGCGACCTGTCGGGGAATGGCAAGGGCACACAAGGTACAGAAATGTTAGCCCGTCACTACTGCACAGCAAGACTCAAATGCTAGCCCTGCCGCTCAATTCCCACTGCTTCACTCATCATGAAAAATTTTTGTACTTTTACAATGTTCCTGGCATGCCCTCCTGCACTCTCCATTGAACCAGGGTTGATCCCCTGGCTTGATGGTAATGGTTGAGTGGGGGACATGCCGGGCCATGAGGTTACGGGCCATGGAGTACAATTCTGCTGCTGTTGATGGCCCACAGCGCCTCATGGATGCCCAGTCTTGAGTTGCTAGATCTATGCAGTGTGTCCTATTTAACATGGTGATAGCACCACACAACACGATGGGGGTTGTTCTCAATGTGAAGGTGGGTCTTTGTCTCCACAAGGACTGTGCAATGGTTAATGGACAGATACAACTGCAGCTAACAGATTAGTAAGGATGAGGTTAAGTATGTTTTTCCCTCTTGTTGGTTCCCTCACCATCTGCCGCAGACCCAGTCTAGCAGCTATGTCCTTTAGGACCCGACCAGCTCAATCAGTAATACTGCTGCTGAGCCACTCTTGGTGGACATTGAAATCCCCCACCCAGAGTACATTTTGTGCTCTTGCCATCATCAGTGCTTCCTCTAAGTGTTGTTCAACACGGAGGAATACTGATTCATCAGCTGAGGGAGGATGGTATGTGGTAATCAGCAGGAAGTTTCCTTGCCCACGTTTAACCTGAAGCTATGAGACTTCATGGGGTCTGGAGTCAATGTTGAGGATTCCCAGAGCAACTCCCTCCCGACTGTATCCCACTGTGCCGCCCCCTCTACTGGGTCTGTCCTTCCCAATACAACCAGAATGATATTAAAGCATGAAATGAGGGATTAGGATGGGGGCCGATCAATCAACCAAAGAGAGAGGTTATCAGAAATGGCAGAAAGGAGCTAATGCAGAGGGAGAGACAAGTGTTGGGGCCCAGTTGGCTGAAGGTAACTCAAGACGCTGGGGGTGGTGACTGCAACCAGGAGGAGGGTATAAGGACTGGAGGAGGTGACTGCGAAAGGGAGGGGGGGTATCACGGTAAATGTTACTGACCTGTACATTCGATGCTTCATTGTAGAATTCTCCCCTGATGTAGATGTACGCTGCCTGAGCTCCCATCGACCTTCCGGCCACCAGGCAGCCTTCAATCAGCTTGTGTGGGTCATGTCTCATAATCTCCCGGTCCTTACACGTCCCAGGCTCCCCCTCATCAGCATTCACCACCAGGTACCTGGGCCTGAAGCAAGACACAGAGCAAACAAGGCTTGGTCGTCACACTGTACATCCTCATCCAGACAGCCAGGGCTGTCCCCCTAATCAAACGTTCCCAGGGACAGGGGCAGCACGGGGTTAGATACAGAGTAAAGCTCCCTCTACACTGTCCCCTCATCAAACCCTCCCAGGGACAGGGACAGCACGGGGTTAAATACAGAGTAAAGCTCCCTCTACACCGTTCCTGTGTATTCCCGATCCCGAGCGCTCCAGGCCGGATTCTCTCTGTTTGTTACTGACCTGCCATCGGACGGTTTGTTCATGAATCCCCACTTCATTCCAGTGGGGAAGCCGGCTCCACCCCTGCCTCGCAATCCCGACGTCTTCACCTCCCCGAGGATCCAGTCCACTCCCTTCAGCAGGATCTCCTTGGTTTTGTACCAGTCGCCACGTTTCAGAGCTCCCTTCAACCTGAGCACGGACAGGACCGCACACACCAACACACACACACACTATTACTGACAGGGGAATAACATGGGCTGCTCAAAATGAACAGGAACTGACTTGCAACAGGGAGACTGCAGGAAACAGCAACCCTATATCACATCCCTCACAGCGAGGGGGGGGGGGGTCACCACTCGCACAGTCACCCCGCAAAGTGGGGCGGGATAGGAGACATACCCACTCGCACTTCAACCCCGTGAGGGAGGAGGGAGGGTGAAAGAGGGTCTGGGGATGGGTGTCCCCATTCACTCCATCCCTTCATCAACTTGGCTCCCCATTCTAGTGTCATCACCCCACACTTACTGTGAACAGTGCCCCGTTAGGGAACGCCGTTAAACGAGCAGAACCTCGGTCTCTCCACCGTCCCCCACCCCGCACTCCCACTCCTCCCGCCCCGCACCGTGCCCTCACCTCCAGTCATGGCGGCCATACAGGTTGGTGAAGATACGGTCTTCATCCTTCAGGGGTCCGTATTTGGTCTTGGTGGGAGTGTCCTGCCGGGAGAGGGTGACACAGGGATATCACCAGAAGCTCCTGGACTAGCACAGCCTGCTCTCTGCCTCTCCCTCTCTCCCTCCTTCCCTCCTCTCGGTGGAGGGCTGGGTGCCTCGACAGAGACAAGACCTCCCGATGGGCCATCTATATCCTCACTGAGAAAGAGCAGAGAGAGGAACAACACCCCGACTGCTCGAGGGGTAGTGCAGGGATGGGGGCAGCGGGAAGGGAAACGGGCAGCGGGGAGTGTCAGTGCACTGAAATAACTCGAGTCCCAGCATTTACACACAAATAGGCCGTGGCTATAATACTGCCTCATACAGAGCCAGCTCTCAGAACGAACAGAACCTCTGACCTCTGTCGTGTTTCTGTCTGTCTGTCAGCCGGGGCTCCCTGATTGTACCAGGTTAACAGCCCCAATCAGGGAACTCATATTCTACAAGGTCCGCCCAATGACCTTGTTCCAGTCACTGCACACACACACAAGGAGGAGGGAGAGTGCGAGCGCATGCGCGTATATTTATTTGTGGGGGTGGGGACCCAGGGGGAACACGAACCAGACTGACCTGTTTCGGAGCTGAGGCAATGGGTCGGACCAGCGAAACAGCAGTTCCCCGCACACAGCGGGGCTTGTACAGGCCACGGCCAACGACCAGCATCACGATATCTCTGGGGGGCGGGGG